TGTTAGAAAACAAGAAAATCAAGAAAGAACAAAAAACAAAGAAAATAAAATAGTCAGTGAAAGCGAGAAAAAAGGAAAAAAATTGAAAAAACAAAGAAAACAAAAGATGACAAAAACAGGAAAATAAGAATAAACCTTAAGAAAACTAGAGCGAACGCAGCCATGGAGCGGACGAATCTACTATATCTAAATAGCTAGCCCCCACTAATAGGAATTTTCTACATTTTCTGTGAGCCACATCATCAAAATTAATGTAACCCACAGATTAACTAAATTAGTTCATTATAGCCGTCTGATCTAGACGTTGAGAGGCTCCGCACTAAGCCACATGCAAGCATGCAGAAACTTACGGTCGTATGCATGTGACTGGGTTTTAAATCCCATCAACACGTCCGCATGCAAGCATGCACTGGCAGCATGCATATAAGTGGAGCTTTAAATCCCATCAAAATGTCAAAAAGAAAATATAAACCCATTATGCAGTAGGAGTTGGCTGATCTCCTTTCCTTACCTGGGCTGATCTATATTTCCTACACTTGCTTGATGGTGGGAGTTTTTTTTTATAGTTTGACTACCACATTTGTCATGCGGTTATAGAGTTGTTTTTTTTATAGTTTTATGACATCGATGATCACAAATCTACTATATCTAAATAGGAGCACCCTACTACCTAATTTCTCTTGACATGCAAGCTATCCACATCACCAATCTACATACAGCCATCCCTCTCAGTCCACCTCAGCATTCTAGACACATCATCAATTCCAAATACTTTTCCTATTCCTCCTAATTGAATTTCTCTTTCTCTCTTTTTCGTTTCTTCACCATACAACTTCATTTTCGCCCCAAGGCCCACTGCTCTGCCCGATCGCACCGCTTCTTCTCCCTCACTGATATCTACAGGAGTTTCTTTCCACAATTAATTCACCAACGCAGGCCCCTCCGTCGGTGCTTCCTGCTTCTCTACAATCACCACGGCTTCCGTTTCCTTCTCACCTTCTTCAATGCCCATCAAATCCCACTTTTGTATTTCAATATAAATGGATGGATTTTCTTCTCCCTCCTCATGCATGGGTAACGGATGCAGTTCATCCCCTTTAAGAAGTGTAGCCAGAGGGCGTCATCACGGAGGACCGGTCGGGAGACGTAGCGTTGGCCGTTGGGTGCGGTCATGCTAGAAGGCTTCGCCGCGCTAGCCGTCGTTAGCCACCTCCATGGTCAGGCTTGCCGTGGGCGCAGCGACGGGTCTAGCCGAAGGGCTTCGCCACGCGCCGATGCGCCGTCCTGCATCGACAACGACGCGCGCTGCTGACGACGCCACACAATGTTGCTGTGCCGGGACGGGCGGCGATGTGGCCGAGGGCCTTTGCCGCGCGGGCTGGGTGCCACATCCGCTGTGAGTACAGTGGTATAGCCGGCTGGGCCAGCATGACAGAGAGCCGTTCTTTGAAGCCGGATGATGTTGTTGCCGCATGCGAGAGACCAAGTCGTGTTTCATATTCCTTCTGTGCATGTGTGTGCTGGCTTCCTTTTTGTTATGTTCTGCAGGTGCCAATGGGTGCATCTCAAATTCTCAATATCGATGGCCTTTGGCCGGATGGTTGCGTTTGCATTGCTCTGTTTGTTTTCTTTGCTGTGTGTCCCCCGTCTCAATATGTGAGGTAGCTACTTCCATTGGTTCCTGCTATATGGTTGCTTGGTCTATTACATTTGGTCCGGTCATTAGATAATTTATTTATTACCTTGCTCTATGTCATCTATCACATGTCCTTACCAATTGTTTCAGTGGGAGATAAGTTCTAATGTAACTAAGTGGGAGAAAAATTCTATTGTAACTGACGAAAATTCTCATATACTTCAATGCGCCTTCAGCAGTACAAAATCAAATATACATATCAGAGTGAATAAATTCTATATCCCACCTGCATTATATTTAGAGCACTAATAATTCTAATCATTGCCTCTATATGAAAGCTATCATATTGTTACCTATATGAAATCTCATATTATTAATTCGAATTGTTAACTTATTTTTTGTGTGCAAATTACATTGAAATCCACACAAAATTCTCGCGGCAACGCGCGGGGCATCAACTAGTAAAGATATATGGTTGTGCCGCGGCAACGCGCGATGACTCATCTAGTGTGCTAAAATGGTCCCACCCAGAAACTGTAGGGCAGAGGAGAGAGCTTTAGGCGAGCATATCAACGACCCGTTATAAGCGAGATATAGCCTTCGCGTAAGTTTGGAGCAAAGTAGGCCTGGCATCCAATTCGAGCTGGGCTCTATTTTCCGATGCCGCCGAATCACAAGCCCAGCCCAGCTACACTTGCCTGTTTCGGTTTGCATCTGTCTCTCTGCAGAGTGTGGAGACGACAAGGCAGCCACGCCGGCCGGATCACCACCGCCACCGCGCCGCGCCAACCCTTGTACAGCCAGCCGGGCTCCCTCGCGCCGGCGGCACAGCGATTCTCCCGAACTCATCACCACCCCACTCCGGCCGGCCGGCCGCCCGTCCGCCCATGGCCGTGGCGACCACCGGCATCAGCAGGGCAAGCACGGCGCGGCGAGTCCCGCTTCATCCTGCGCTGCGACATATCAGCCTCGCCCTCACCTTCCGCATACCCCCTCCGCCTCTCGAGGTGCTCACTCGTTCGTCCCCTCCCCTCCCCTCATGTTGCTCCCCGCAGATCTCTACTCTGTTCTGACCTACCTTTTCACTTATCCTAACAAGGAGCGAGGTGAATAAGAGGCTCATTAACGTGGATTGCCTTCAGTGCCGTCGACAAATTGAAGGAGGATTGCGAGATGCTGGAACATTTGTTTTGTTCCCTGCCTAGTTGTTGAATTCTGCAGCTTCGAACCCCACACACAACCCAGAGTTGTCTTCCAGGTTGAAACTGATTTGCCATCAGAGTCTTGTTGTATGTGTCTTCTCTTCATTCTTAATGTTTCGTGTCTGCTAACCTGTTCGGGAGAATCAACATCTCATACTGGTTGATTGCGGTCTACCATGGAGGCTATATCACTTGAAAGCTGTATTGAATGTGTCGTTGGCAAAATACGCCGACATAATCAGTATCTCAGCACGACTTGTGTCTTTTACTGTCGTATTTCTTATGTGCATCAGAGGAAATGTGCTCTCTAGGCATGTCGGGCCGTACCGAGTCCAAGACTTAATGAATATAATATCGTCCTGTCCAGTGATCAATACAAAGGACACTTGAATTCGGTTTCTAATGTCACTTTTTTTACCATTCCAAACTTTATCTGTGTTGAAAGGAATCTATGTGGTAACTTCTGCATGTCTATTTCACATTCCTTGATCTAATTTCTAAATTACTAGCTACCAGGCAGCCTTTTATATGATATCGAGCTGCCGACTCCACGTTATCTTTGATATAGTTTGCAATGTTTAGTATTGTGATAATGTGTGGGAAGCTAAAGAAGCTGTTGTATTGATTGGAAGATGGAAAGTGTGAACCAAATCAACCAGTTGATGTGATGATGTCTCGGTCAGCATTTAGTAATCATGATCAGCAATTTTTTTTTACTTAACTACTGCATATAAAGCTCACATGTTATGATCAATCGTCAGTTTCAGCTTTATTAAATATTGAAATTGCTAGTTCCATACTAACTTTGATAGTCGAGAAATTGGGACAGGTGTTGCCAGTAGTTAGTGAGCATACTAACTTTGATGAGGTAATTAACTTGCTCACCGTTAATTGATTTAATTTGGTAATTTCGTTTCAGCCAATTCATTCACTGTTAGCAGCTACACTTGTCCTTACTAGTGTTTCACCAAAGAGTCATCCGTATTCAAGAGTGCCTTAAAATCCACCGTGTCTTTACATTTAAGACAGCGAATGGGGAATCATCCAAGATAATTTTCAGAGAGGGAGATGACCTCCGCCAAGAGCAGCTGGTAACTTTCTAGTCTTGGTTTGCATTTCATGAAATCATTTTGGCTTTTGTTCTAGTCTGGCACACTGACATGTATTGCCATCTCTGCGTACTGGTCTGAGCTAGTGGTTATAGTATAATATTCCTGTGAAGCCAGCCAGCCTGTATTTTCAGTCCTTGCTAAGTTGCCACTTAAGCTAAATAAAGTATTTTAGACTCTTCTCATTTTGTTTTAAAGTTGCCTGCTGTTGGACTTAAATGTGGGTGGGGTTGAAAGATTAAGTACATCTAGGATTGTGCCAGTGGGGGTAGTGTTTGGCACTCCACTTGTGTTGCCTATATCATACATGATGAGATCAGACATCATGCGTCAGCTTTGCAGCACGAGCGGTGGTGATGAGAGGAGGAACTGTGTAGGCCCACAACCGACCTCTAGTCAGGCTGGACAGAATAACAGGCATGGTGGCGAGCTCGCGGGTTGGTAACACTTGGTGCCAATAGTGGGATGGCATCGTGGGGCTGCTGAGCGGTCACGGGAGGAAGGAGGTGTGATGGGGGCAGCTTGCGAAGGGGCGGCGGCGTCATTAGGTTGTTGGAGAAGGGGAGATAGGCTGCAGAACCGCCACCGCTTCGTTGTGCGTCATCTCTAATGGTGGAGATGGCTGCAATCCTACACTCTGTTTGTAACTAATTAATATATAAACGCGGCCTCACTTCCCACAATTTCTATGTCGTATACATATATATTTGTGAGCTGTAAAACACCATGCAATAAGCAACTGAATAATACATGTAAATCAACCCATTAATGCAAAGATAGTATTTATTTGTGGGCTGTGAAACACCACGTGATAAGCAACTGAATGATGCATATGTAAATCAACCCACAAGTACGCAGGTAGCTTCTTCGTTTAGTTATTAAAATTATGAGCTGTAAACACCATTCGAAAAGCAATTACGCACTACCCTCACAGTAAGAAAAGCCTCTGAGAAGTCTAACCTAGCCCCAAACATTACATGATTTGGTACTAAATATAATATGTGGCATGCAAGCTCAGATATATTATAATTATAACATCAACCAAGATTGATATCATCTTCCTCCTGAAAGACCAGATATTGTGCCAATGCTCGTGTTTAATGAAAGATATGACAATGCATAACGGTCAAACCCTTCACCCTGCATTTGAGAGAGCAGGCTGAAGCTCATGTCTGTATCTGTTAAGTCAGGGAATTGCAAATCGCCATCAAGGTACCGCATGATACTCTGCATGTTGGGCCTTGCATTGGTAAATGGGTGTGCACATAGTAGTCCTAGCTTTAGCACTAGGCATGCCTCGTCAACATTATAGTCATTCTGTAACCTCGTATCTACTGCCTCAGCCAGTGATCCCTTATTCCAATGCTCAAGAACCCAATCAACTAACAAAGGTTGATTTGCTCGTGCATTGCTGTTAACTGGCCTTTGCCCACAGGCAACCTCAAGAAGGAAAATCCCAAAGGCAAACACATCAGTGAGAGGAGTTGCCTTACCTGTGCATATCAGTTCTGGGGCTAGGTACCCAATGGTACCAACCACATGTGTGGTCTGCATATCAGTTCCATGATCATAAAGTCTTGCAAGGCCAAAGTCACCTAGCCTCCCATTCATTTCACTATCAAGGAGTACGTTGCTTGCTTTGATGTCACGGTGGATGACCACTTTCTCCCATTTTTCATGGAGGTACAGCAAGCCTGATGCAATATCCTTTATTATCCGAAACCTCTGAGCCCAGTTTAGTATAAGCATTGGATCATCACAATACAAATACTTATCAAGGCTACCATTTGACATGTAGTCATACACCAAAAGGAGTTCATCTTTTCTCCTACAATAGCCAAGTAACTGAACAAGGTTACGATGTCGGATGCGGCCAATGCTGACAACCTCAGCAACAAACTCCTTTAGACCCTGTCTGGACTCGTGCGATACCCTCTTCACAGCAACCTCTAGTTTTGTTGATGGAAGGGCCCCTTTATATACCTTCCCAAATCCTCCTGCACCAAGTAGGTGTTTGTTCTTAAATCCTTCTGTGGCATGGAACAAATCCTTGTATGAGAACCGATGTGGCCCGAACTCGATCTCCCAATCTTCTTTTAGCTCAGCATACCTCAATTTTCTCCTCACTAGTAAAATGACCATAGAACCCACAGCAAATACGAAGATTGCGCTCGCTATAGGTAGGATGATTTTCAGCAGCTTTGATTGATGCTTTGGCTGAGGTAGCTTTGGCAGCTTCACAGAATTGATCAGTGGGGCTGGTTTGTTCATCCCAAAACTCCAACCAAGTACATAATGTCTTGAGTCGACCTCTCCACCTGAAGATGAGAAGCCGATGTAGGATGGATCTTGCAACACACTCGAGAGGTCATAATTTGTCGATATGAGTGGCCTTGTAGGTTTTGCCATTTGAAGGGGAGCCATGGTCACACTGATTTTCTTGGCTTCACCATTGTAGTCCACCCACACTTGAATTGCATCACCACTAGCAAGAACCATGTCTTGGAAGGTACCGTTCCTATCATCATAATATCCTGCAGAGTTGGACTCTATAGACTGGAGGCTGTTGATGTCAATACCTACATGGTTGGTGTTGATGTCTTTGAACTCGATGTTTAGGACGGTGTCTAGCTCGATGGCGAAGATGTGGTTGCTCAAGTTGCCGTTGTTCTGGGAGTTCATGAGGCCCAAGTATTGGTTGGCCAATGCAGTTGAGAAGTTCATGCTTGGGGCGACAACGAAAGCCAAGCCCTGTCGGCTCATGATGGGGTAGCTAGAGTGGATGGCAAACACGAAGGCGACTGAGAAAGATTGCACTGTATCATTATGCGATTTGCGGAAGTGCAACGGAGTTGGGTAGAACGCATGACCTTTGCAACCAAGCGAGCCATTGGTTAGCTCAAGGAGTCCGTTCGGCGTGACTGAAGCAGCCTCGTCGACGGTGAGGTTGGTACCGGCTGTGAAGCCATGGTACAAGAGTTGGTCATCGCTTGCTGCAGTGAAAAACACAGGCTTGAGGCCAAAACAGAGGAGGAAACAGAGGAGGAAGAACTTCATCTGAGATGGGTGCTTCTCTGTGCTTGCAGGAGCAGACTGCAATGCTATTTAACTTAATCTGCAGTGAGGTAAAAGTTGCTATCCTGCCCTCTTTTTTCCACAGGCATTGTCGTCTGCAAATGCTATACCAAGAACACGTTTTGAAAAAACAAGCTATACATGACTTCAGTGCACGATCTTACCCTCGTGGTTGTAATTTATTTGTAGGGTAGGAAATTCTTAGCCACTCATCTCATGACTTCAGTGCAAAAGTCAGTCGTCCTTGCTTTCCCATATTCTCCACTACACATAGCTTCATAAGTCTATTTTGTATGTAGCTTTCGGTGGTTACACATGCATGCATGACTTGAAAAGTCAGTCGTCTATGTAGCTTTCCACATTGGTCAGCCACCATGTTTCTTTTCTGATTTGCAATTAACAATACATATTTTACTGTATCCTGAAAAGAACTGAAACCCAAATTTACACAGCCTGGAGCATAAATCAGAATACAATTTTGTTTTAATTATGTTTTCCTTATGATACAGTTATTTATTGTTACTTGATAAATGCGTGCAGTCAACTTAACATCTGCTGCACAAGACACATAGCTTCAGTTTGTGATGTGTAAAGATTACCTACCATGGAGGGAATCCGACATTCAGGGTACATGGTTAGGTAAGTTGTGGAAAAATCTTTGCTCTGCGGTTATATTTTATTTGCAGCTACGCATGCCTTCATAATTTATTTCATGTGCGTCGGCCTTGCTTTTCCATGTTGACTACTGCACATGGCCTCACAAGTCACTCGTCTATGTAGTGTAGCTTTCCATGGCTACACGTGCATAAGGCAGACGTCTAGGAGTATATAGCATTCTAAATTGTTCATTGTCAGGAATCGTTGTAGGATAACCCTTTTCTCAATAATAATGAGAGCTTTACTGACTCCAATGTTGCATCGAGACGGTACCAACTGCATAGAGTTCACACCCGGTCTGTACAGAGCAAGATGCACAACAGTCCAAACAAAGACGAACTCACCCGGAAACAAAAAAGACAAACCCAGTTCTAGAAGCTTCCACACCAGGTGGGGTAGGGGAAAGGATTATACAAGGCAAGCCTTATTCTTGCAGAGTGCAATGCAGAGAGGTTGTGTCGAACACAGAACCTCTTGGCAATTGGCATAAGTGGGGAGTACTTCACCACTGCAGCATGACAAACTCACTGTACAAAGATTAAAATGTCATGGTTCGACGAAAAGAGTACCTCCTAAGGTATTGGAGGGCCGTTCCGAAGACTAAACCATCACCATCTGGGGTAAACATCTCCTTGGCTGCTCGCTCCAACCGGATACATGCCTTTGCAAAAAGCCTACTATGCTCTGGTCGCTCAAAGCAAAGACCATGTATGGAACAAGTGTGTATATGAGTTTGTGTTGGAGGCATGTATGTGTTCATTAAGTGGCACACCACTTGAAGGCATGGGTTCCACTTGTTGAACACAACCCGGCCACCGTTGTGGTGGGTTTAGGGAATATTGTCTTCTCTACCATTGCACATACCCTAAGGGCTAGTTGCCATGCTACTGCCCAACAAGTGCATAGCGCCTTGCAGGACACATGTAAGTACTTGTGTAGTTGTGTTCTCCTGAACACGCCCGACATATCTAGGTCTCGTTCTTACAGGCTATGATAAACCATACAAAATAAGAGCTTTCATACTAACCAAGAATAATTCTCTATATAGGTCTTGCACATGTAAATACATTGGACAAATGGTAGAGTTTGGACAAATGTGCATCTAAATTGGAAAAAGAAAGTGGAATTTACACCATCAAGGCTGCACGCAAGTCGTCTACGGAAACTTCGTTCTGCATCAAGGATGGAATGTTGAAGCTCATGTGTGTCAGATTTAGATCTGGGGGTGGCATATCACCATTGAGATACTGCATAACCTGCCTCATGTTGGGCCTTAGATTGATTAATGGGTGTGAGCACAGCAATCCTAACTTCAGAGCTAGGCATGCCTCATCAACATTGTAGGCACCTCGGAGCTTGGTATCCACTGCATCTGTGAGAAATCCTTGGTGCCAATGGTCAATCACCCATCTGACCAAGGTGAGTTGGTTGCCTTGTGATGTTGGCTCGATGGGCTTCCGCCCACAAGTGACCTCAAGAACAAACATGCCAAAGGAAAATACATCACTAAGTGGGGTTGCTTTGTTGGTGTGTGCTAGCTCAGGAGCTAGGTATCCAATGGTGCCAACAACATGTGTGGTTTGAGGGCCAGTCTCGTGGTCATATAACCTTGCTAAGCCGAAGTCACCCAGCCGCCCATTCAGTCCATCATCGAGGAGCACATTGCTTGGCTTGATGTCTCGATGCAATACAACTTTCTCCCATTCCTGGTGAAGGTAAAGCAAGGCAGACGCAATGTCTTTGATGATTTTGTATCTCTGGGCCCAAGTTAAAGTGGGCTTCTTCTCCTGATCATACAGGTACTTGTCGAGACTTCCATTCGACAGGTAGTCATACACCAGAAGAAGCTCAGCCTTGCGCCGGCAGTAGCCATGCAACTGCACAATATTGCGGTGCTGGAGGCGGCCGATGCTCGCAACCTCTGCCACAAATTCCTTCATTCCCTGCTTAGAGTCGTGGGAGATCCTTTTCACAGCAATCTCCACTTTCGACTTTGGAAGCACTCCCTTGTACACCTTTCCAAATCCTCCAATCCCCAGTAGATTCTTGTTCTTAAATCCCTTGGTGGCGTGAAACAAGTCCTTGTATGAAAACCTATGGGGCCCAAATTCAGTCTCCCAGTCTTCTCTAAGCTCGGCATACCTTAGCCGCCTTCGCACAAGAAGAATGACAACAGTGCCCACAGCAAGAACAAATGTCGCAGAAACTATTGGTAGTACGATTTCCAATACCTTGGATCTAGGCTTCGGACCTTGACGAGGCAGCTTGGGCAGCTTGGTGATGTCGATTGCTGGAGCAGGCCTGTTGATGCCGAAGCTCCAACCAAGCACATACTGCCGCGAGTCGAATGAGCCCGTCGAGGCAGAGAAGCCAACGTAAACCATGTCTGGGAGCACCGTTGAGAGGTTGTAGGTGGTGGAGAGCAGTGGTTTGGTGGGTTTGGCCATGTCTACTGGAGCCAAGCTCACACTGATCTGCCTGCGACCTCCATCATACTCCACCCACACCTGCATCATTTTGTAGCTCGCGAGTGTCAGGTTTTGGAAGTTACCCTCGTCGCGGTCGTCGTAGTAGCCGGCGCTGCTGGATTTCACTGAGACGAGGTTGTTGATGTCGATCCCGACATGGTTGTTGTCAATGTCCTTGAACTCATCGTTCCAGTTGGTGTCGAGCTCGACGGCGAAGAAGCGGTTGGCTGGGTCGCCGTTGTTGTGGTCGTTGATGAGCCCCAGGTACTGGGTGGGCATGGTGTCGGAGAAGTTGCTGCTCGCGGCGACGACTGAGGCCATGCCGTGCCCGCAGGTCTGGGCCTGGATGCAGTAGATGGCAAACACGTACGAGACAGCAAAGGACTGAGGCGCCTGAACCGCTGTCCCGTTGGGCGCCCTGCTGAAGTAGAATGGAGTCGGGTGGAAAGCATGGCCTCTGAGCCGGAAGGTGCCGTTGGTCAGCTCAAGCAGGCCGTCTGGTGTGATGGTGGCGGTGCCGTCGAGGGCGAGGTTGGCGCCTGCGAAACCGGAGTAGACGAATTGGTCTTGTTGCCCGGTAGCAAGCTCTGAAAGATCGAGGATGAGGAAGAGGAAGAGGAAGAAGAAGAGGAGATGCTGGAGCAAGGAGAGACGCTTGATGCTTCTCATGGCTCCGGATGAACAGAAGTTACTAAACGAAATGAAGAAAGATGGAGAGACATAATCACATAAGCAAGCCTGCCCTCTACTATTTGGCAGTATTTTTGCTGCAGTTGGTCAGATTCTCTGGAAAAGCATCTTCTGACCAACTCCTGCAGTATTGTATTGTGCACAGCAAAATATTGCTTCTTTGGATCATACTTCTGCTGGCTTCATTCATATCAAGCACGTGTGGATTGAGGCATTGAGCTAGACGCAAAGCAGTCTTACACTGCAAAGTCAAGGTCAATGAAAGCTGCTGTGATGTCGGTGTGCAGATATATTTCTCTAAGTTGTGGTTGGTGGAAATTACCTTGCTGCAAGTGTGGCCAAGTTCTTCTGAAGTTGTGATGGCATAATCTTTGACTTGCACAATACATATGTCAACCATGGCCTCGTAAGTCCTAAGTCAATCGTCATTGTTAGATTGTGGAGATCACTCAAGAGGCTGGTGGCAAACTCTGATTTCATGGAAGTTGTGGACATCATGAACAATGGTGGACCTGCGGCGGCAATCTAGGACAATGAAAGCTAGCTGTGATGTCAGATGTGCAGATATATTTCTCTAATTGTGGTTGGTGGAAATTACTTTGCTGCAAGTGTGGCCAAGTTCTTTTTAAGTTGTGACATAATCTTTGACTTGTTGATGAGCAATATATTTCTCTGATCTAGTTGTGGCTGGTGGCAATTACCTTGCTGCAAGTGTGGTGCATCTGGCCAAGTTCTCATGTTGTGACATAATCTTTGGCTTGCACAAGTCAGTCGTATACATATGCCAACCATGGCTTCATAAGTCATAACTCCTTTGTCTGTGTAGGGTATTAGTCATTGTTAGTGTCGCAGCACTAAATTGCTTGAATGCGATTTGTCTATTATAATAATATATGTTGGTTGTTTTGTCCAAGAGTTCACTCCTTTTTCTGTGGGTGAAGGGGGGAGAAAATGTTATTCTACTCGACTTAGTCTATGTAGGGTGGCTGTACAAATTCAGCCTTTTATGATCTTTTACTCTTTTTTCGACTCGACTCGATAGATGTAACAATGCCTAGCTACCTACTGCCTTACATATTGGTAAATTAGTTATACTACTGCCTTACATTTGTTTTTCATGCCCTGTTCTTTTTCTAGGGTGATCTCTGCTGCGATCTCCTGTGTTCA